TAGTTACTGTTTAAACTTTGTATTTCAGTTTTGTTATTAGTTAAATAATTTAATTCTGATAATATCTCAACATTCAAAATTAGTGACAGTAATTTCATTTTGACTTTCTGTGAATTTCCTAGCAAATTTATCATTTTAAATTTAAACCTTTCCCGTGAGATCGATATTTGGAGCTTAAATAAAAAGTCTTTTATTACTTGATAATGATACATATACTTGTGTAGAATCCCAACATTAATTGCTTAATTTTTTTATTCATAAAATATTACATCAAGCATTTTGCACCGTTGCATAGCGGAGTCAACTTTATAATTTTTACACAATTATATTCTCGGGATCAAGTTTTTGGTGTCGTTGCCGGGAAGGTAACGGTAAATTAAGAAATTTAGACATAATAATATAAAAAAATAAAAAATATAAATATAAAAAAATCCAAAAAGAAAATATATATTTTTAAGAGTATTTTAAAAAAAAAAATTCTTTACTTATTATATTTGTTTATGCAAAATATTGGATCTCAAAGTTTAGTATCTTAAGATTCAGAATTAGAGCATACTATTAGAAAAATTTGAAAACAACAAAAAGAAATTAAAATTTTAAATGAAATGGCGAATAACTTAAATAATCAAATAAACGAAAATCGCAAAAACCTTTAAAAGATTATGCTAATCCGACAGCACCTGAACTTCACTTGACTATTCAAAATCCTGATGTTGTTGCTAATTCATCTAAGCTTAAACCTGCTATTATACAAATGATACAGAATAATCAGATTGGAGGAATACCTACTGAATATCTAAACTTACATCTTGCTAGTTTTCTTAAAATTTATGCTACTTTTAAATATGACGGAGTGTCTAATGATCTTGTTAGGCTTAAATTTTTTTCTTTTTCATTAAGAGATAAAATCAAGGCTTGGTTAAATTCATTAGCACCTGAATTTATCAGAACTTGGGGAGAACTATCACAAAAATTCTTAGATAAATATTTTTCACCCTAAAAAACTACTAATTTTAGAAATGATATTACATATTTTTGTCAGTTTGAAGGGGAATCAATATATGAAGCTTGGGAAAGAGGAAGTCTGGGAAAGATTTAAGGATCTCCTTAGGAAATGTCCACACCATGCTTTTCCAGATTTTTTAATAATTCAAATTTTTTTACAATGGATTAGTAGGATCACTTAGATCTATTATAGATGTTGGTGCAGGTGGATCATTAATGTCAAAACCTAAGCATACTCTTTAATAGAGGAAATGTCTACTAATAATTTCCAATGACCCTTTAAATGGGTAAATTTTCAGAGAGTAGCTAGTTTTCATGATTATGATGCAATGTCTATTTTAGCATCTCAAACTACTTCTATATCAAAAGAGATTGATCAAATTGGAGTGAACTATTCTTAAATACTACCAGTACTAGAGGAATATTCACTAAAACAGATAATTGATACTCAATCATCTTATGAAACTTTGAATGTCATAAATAATCAAAATAATAATCCCTATTCTAATTATTATAACCTGGATGAAAAAATCACCCTAATTTTAGTTGGAATAATTATAACAATTCAGTGAACCCCTGAGGAAATTTAGTTAACCAAGGAAATACTAACTATCGCCCTTATTATCCTCCTAGATTTAACTCTAACCCTAACTCACAAGTTAAGGAAAAGAAGTTGACTATGAAATAAATAATGTTAAACATGGGAAATTAAATACAGAATCAAGGGGTTGCTATTAGAAATATTGAAAATCAATTATGACATATTACTACTGCACTCAGTAACAGACCTTCTGGAATTCTTCCGAGTACTGTGGAAGTTAATCCAAAAGATCAAAATAAGGAGTAAATTAAAGCTATTCAATTATGAAGTGAAAAAGAAGCTGAAGCAAGGATCCAAAGAGAAAATGAAGTTGATGAAGAGAAGGAAGAAATGGAAAGTGACCAAAATGAAAATGAACAAACACAAGGTCCTTTAGAAAAAACATTACCTTTGTTTCCTCAAAGACTGAAGTAGAAGAATAAAGATAAACAATTTACAAAATTTTTGGAAATCCTTAAGAAGTTAACGATAAACATCCCTTTGTTGAAGCTTTGGAACAAATGCCGAGTTATGT